CTACGAAGTTGCCTCGTACTACTAGCACACACCTTCAGCACAAGCATGGAAGCGATTTCCGTCTTACCTTTGCGTGCGAGGGTGGCTGTGTGGTCGGTCGACTGCTTAAGCAGTCGTACCACCAGTTGCCTCTCGCTTAAGCGAGAGTGCAACGAACTTCTAAAACAAGAAGTCACCGGCGTCACGCAGAAGCTTTTTGGCTTCTCGTGCGTGGTGCGTATGCTTTAAGAAAATTCAAGACTGAGTCATATTTAATGAATTATAATTAAATATAAACTTAACTACTGATTGGCTATATATATAAAGATCGGATACGCGAAGCGTATCCTGACGTGTGAGCTTAAATGTAGATTTAAGCTCACTAATGGCGTCCTTCTGGGACGTCGCGATGCCTAACTTCAACTAGCGTCATCCCTTCTCATGTGAATTTATCAATGGATATCACGTTCACGAGGTGGATCACATTTGTGTATCGCACCCAAGTGACAGGTCAAAAGTAATCATGGATACTTTGATACCTTACATTAATTATTAATTAATGTTTACGTGTTGCCCTGTTACAAAAAGGGCCACCCCCACGCCGCGTCCGACGATCGCGCGCTTCAGAAAAACGAGCAGCTCGAGTAGCCTATCAGGAAATAAATAAAGGTGTCAATCCCGTGAGCGTTACCGCGGATAAACAGCCCCGTACAATCACCGGAGTCATTTGGGCACCACGTTGCTGTCTAGACGTAGAAAAACCAGACACACGGCAGCCACTAACGATTTAACGACCGAGTGGTCGCAAATAAAGGAGCTGTAGCAGATAGAGATGTGGGAAACAGCATCAACCTACACGAGCGTCTTTTCTCGTCGTCAGTATTACCCACTCGCTCTGAGCTCTCTTGAGCTTTTATAGGGATCACCGCTGTATTGTATCCATTTGATGATGGGGTCAATTGTGTATCAACTTCGAAGCGGTTTAAAGACCTATGGTACCCGTGGCCAGAATTTAACGTAGGACAATATTGTGTTTGCTCTCAATTGCATTGCGGGTTTTGTTCATCAGCATGTATTAATTGGCACTGTCGTCACCGCAAAAAAGGTCTCAGCATAAACAAGCTATCGTTCTGCAAAAGAAAAACCAATGAGATTGGTGGAAGAATTCTCCACAGAGTTTGACCATTTTTAGCCGCAACTCTTAGAACTAAAATATATACATCTTTGAATTCATATCCTTTCGATGCATCCTGTCCCAGTCTAACAAGTCGACCAAGTCCATTTCCATCCATCTCAATCTCATAGAAAGACCATAGCACATTGCAGATTTTTTCTCTCCCGAAAGACCATAATGAAGCGACGTGGATCGCCTAGAATTGCCAACAGCAAGCAAAAGAAGCAAACAAGTTGCGCGGAAGCTTTGATGGATTCTCCTGCTGATCGTCTTAGCTTTGTTTTAGAGCTTATAGCGGGGCAAGTGTGTACATTTTTGCTCACCGAGGAGATCCTATACTTGTTTCAAGTGTGTTCTAGTGGCTTGTCAGAAGATTTCATTGACAAAATGGCACTAAAAGCACTCTGACCAATTTGCTGACGAAAACAAGACCCACGTGGGACGCCAGTGTGACTGTGACTGGATGCGAAGTATCCATTTTGAACGATCTTGTTTGAAGAAATGTCCTCGCACCGGACCGTTCACTGTAAACAGGTCCATGCCAAGTCTTACAGCCCCAAATGGTGCCCTAGCATTGTGGAGTGCGTTAGCACTGGCAAAGAGAGCTATGCTACCCCTTTTTTCTGTGAAAAACTGGCATACCACAGGGGCGCTTCTTCCCGTTGTGTGCTTGCTCTCAGAGGATAACGAGAAACTCTGCAGCGAATTAGCTGTCAAGAAAGCGATGAACCGTGTTTGTAAAAAAGCTGGTGACCGATTCGTCTACAAGTATTCTACGCAACAACCAAAAGATGATAAAAAAAGGCCAGATTTCATTTACGATCACTGGGACAGCATCGAGGGCCCAAAATGCGCGTACTGTGACGCTTTTATAGATCGACAACGTGTAGATCCACGCCAATTTACGCAGCCTAATTTACGTATCCCACTAATGCGTGCTAACTGCAGGCGTTTGTATCAGCCGCTGAAAGCTGCGATGGAGAAAGAACTTCAGTTCGTGCGGTATATACCTCAACCAAAATTCTCCACCACATACAAGGGATTGATAGCAGGGATTTCGCCCAGCGGCGTTTTCTGCGGGTTCTACATCGCAAGCGAATTTTGGCCTTACGATCGATTCCTAAGAGAAATAACACGAGAAAATCTGATCTTCCAAATTATTGAATGATAGCACTTTATGCGGAAACGATACAGCGGTAATTTCAATGCATTCCATACATCTCCGATCATTCTACCCTCCAATACCGCCTTAATCTTCTTCACCGATGTCTTCTTCGCTGAGCTTTCCGTACAAGCCTCTTTCTCCCCATGCGACTTCAACTGAATCTGACCCTACAAGGGTTTTTTGTGCTTGGCCCAATGGAGTTTGCTGCCACAGCGTCTCAAACTCATCTGGATTGACAATAGAGAAAACAGACTCGTGCTGTCTTTGTCTGCCTTGTTTCGACGCGGGAGCGATCACTTTAACGCACGGGCAGTATACCGCCGCATCATGTATCGAATGGGGCTCTTCAAGCGACATTCTGTATACAGTATATATTCTGCGATTTGTGGTGCGGTTCTTTGAAATTTCACGAATAACGGCTGGAAATTTTACATTTGCCGGTAAGACAAAGAGACCGTTTTCTAGTGCCATTGCTGCTCACCATGACCAACGAGTGTATTTCGTCGTCAATGGCCGTATTGCAACCATGCTACTCGTCGCGACTCTTTCGATCTTCGTTTGCAACATGCTTCTCAGTGGTTGGGGCTCTGCGCAGTGAGCTCTGGGGCTGCGCATGCGTGGCGCTTGTGGTGCTGCTTACGTCGCTCAACTACTGGCGTGACCCCGTGAAAGGATGGCGTCGCACGGCCGACATGACGGCGGTCTTTGGAGCTGCCATCTACCATGCCTACTATTGCGTGGCAGTGTGCCAGGATCCGATCGTGCAGGTTTTGTACGCGCTGGTGGTAGCCAACTCGGGCTATTGTTACATGCAGGCTTGCAAGGCACCGAATCAGGACGTGTCGTCAGCATGGCATTGTGGCCTTCACTTGCTGGGGAACGCGGCCAATGTACTGCTGTATCTTGGCATATCCATCTAGAGAAGAAGAATGAAAAGAAGACAGGAATTGTGAAAATATAAATGAATGCTGTCAATAGTAGTGTATGTTCATCATGATGCACGAGTAGCACCAAAGGGTGAGTTCTCGATGGCTGCAAGTGCTTTCTGTGCTAATGTGTTGACACGGTCGCGAGAGAGTGCCAGCGATGAAGACGAAATGTCAAGTTGATAAGTGACCGACTTCCGGCCGCTTTTTTTGCAGCAATACTTGTCTAGCAATGAGATTGAGACCGTCATTGTCTTTATCGGAAAGTGCTTTCTCAGGATGTCAAGCAAACGGTCCTCTGTTAACAATTGCTCGTTGGTGACCCAAAAGCTGACGTCGCGTGTCCATTGAATAGGGAATCGAAACTTGCGACCTGTAGCTTCATGGCAGAACACGTGTGTGATGCCGTCCTCCGTCCAGAAGACCTTCTCTCGCGATTGATATCCGACGCTGTAGTACCCCAAGTCGGCCAATGCGTCAACTGGGCAATAGTGGGCATCCTGCAGCACCAACTTTGCTGCCGCAGCGCAGTGAACAATCTGCCATGTATCTCCCACTGATCGTGTCTTCCTCTCCAGCATCGTCCCTCCTTGTCCAGCACAAAGCGTGACCCAGATCTGTCCGTCACTTGCTAGTACTTGACTTGCACTAGTAAAGAAATCGAGCAGTAGTTGTCGATGACGATGAATTTTGTTGCGTTTATTCTTGTTGCCCACACCTCCGTCTGCCGCGTAATGTGGGTAGTTAAACACGATCCGGTCAAACTTGACAGCCTGGAACAAGTAGCTCTCCAGCTTTGTCGCGTTCACTCCGTGTCGGACGTGAGCTTCGCCACTGTGTAGCTCATCCAGAATTTCACGTGACTTGGGATACATTTCTAGTAATTGGCTTTCACTGTCTAGCGAGGTGGCTGTCAGATTGATCGCTGAAGCGCCGATACGAGTGCTATTGGCACGCAGGAATGCTCGAGAGTAGGAAAAGTTGCCATCCCCAACCACCAGCACGTGGGCGGCTGGTTGAAGTGGTCCTAATGAAGTTAAATCACCGATAACTGCACTACAATCGGAAGAGTTGTAAGCTGATGGGGATATTGACGTCATGAGCAGCCTGTTCGTTTCAAGAGCTCTTTTACGTAACAAGTACCGAGCGCCAATGAGCTTAAGTATGGAGCGATGAATGGAGGACAGTTTTTGCAACATCTAACAGGTAGGCTTGCAAAGGGATTGTTGGTAGTAAGAAGACATCGATTCTTACAATCAAGACGCCTCTTAGGCGTTGTAATGGTACCACAGCATTGCAATCAATAGAGCGATGAGTGTAGGGCCGACAAACGCCACTGCCACTCGTGTTGACTGTTCACTTTGAATTGGTTCTTGAATCTCCATACACGACGAGTCGTTGCTCTTGTTGCTATCCCTCTCCTTTTTCTTCTCGCGACGCTGCATTAACTGCAACATATCCAAGCCACAAATCAAAACATGGCCAAACAACACTAACCGTCAACATCAAAGCCATTGGAACCATATTGTCCTCACCGTCAGCTCTAGGTCGTCAATTGTCATCCGTAGCTGCCAAGGCCTTAAATTTTCTGCTTCTCTAGCTCAGCAATCAGTTGTTGGCGACAAGATAGAAATGCTTTGTACTTGGTCACCACTTCTTCACCAAAGTCATCGTTGCATTTGGCCTGCTCGTGCGCCGCTTGTAGTGCATTGTCCATTGCGTACAGCTCGTTAAGCTTGTTGCGAATCGCCTTGGACTTGCTGCCCAGTGGCTCGAGCCCCTGTGTCAACAATGAGTTTCCTGACATAGTCGTGAACATCTTTACTCGACTGATGGCCAAGGAAGATATGTGTGCAGCTTCAAAGGATAACCAAAATCTACTTTCGACGATTGTTGCTCTGTCCAACGTGATGGAAAACAGCTAACAAGAAATCAATATGCTACTCTGTCAAACACATTTTTTTATTCGCTTAG